ATACAGTACAATGATCCAAATGGACTCCACTTCAATCAGCGTTAGCCGCACCCCACACGCACATCAAGTATCCCGTGGGTTGAAATATTGGCGACTCTTTGGGACTCCCTCGGAGGCAGCCACGAAATGGAAGCTTTGTGAACATTTGGTTTTCACCTGGCACGTGTTTCATCTGCACTTCTTGCAACACCTCAGGTAGATGCATCCACAGAGTACAGTACCAGGACTCATCTCCTTGGAAATCCTCAGGTTGGCCTCCCACTGCCAAGGCATGCATAGGGCTCGTGCTCAGCCAACAACTGAACAACCGACACAAACAAAATGTGAGTTTCTGTTCAAATGAAGAACCTCTTTTAGGTAACACTGAAGACTGCGGGCTCATCGTTCTGCTTGATTGTCATTACTCAGTTGACCAAAGGACACAGAAAGAAAAGATTAAAAAAACCTGGGCCCACCAATTTTGGACCAGAAAGGAAGGGTTAACTTACGCCTCCAGGTCCGTGCCCTCACGCCGTCCCTCGCGCGCCCGAAGTTGGCGGCTCGCCAAGTGAGATAACACCAATCAGCTCAACGCATCGGCGCAGTGAAAACAACATATTCATCCGGATTTACCGGAGGTTTGCTGAGTTTGCTGTCAATCAAACCTGCGTTTGTTGATGACACATACTCTCGCACCGATTGACGTGAAAGGCTCAAACAACAAATGTTGCATTCCAGGTTGATTGCGCCCAAAAAGGTGTAGTCAACTACACCGCAGCTATGGCTGTCAATGCTGTTGTTAACGTGGAAGCTGTGCAAAATTGGAGTTCTACGCCTAACTCCAAGAACGGGATTTATAAATGTCTTCCAGGCGCCCCCTGCATTCAGGTTCCATTTTAATGAAGGATACAGGAAAGTCCTGCTGCGCAGCTAACGGGGAACCGGCGTGAGTTGCCAAAAACCACCAAGCCACCCCTCGTATGCAGCTAACGTGGAAGTTGGAGAAAACCTGTTTGTTTTTTTGGAAATTGCAGGGTCCAAGCGGGGTCCACGGGGGTTCCACGTTAAGCGCTGCCATTTGCGCGTGCTTACATGTTAATTGAAACCCTTCCAGTTTGTCCACGTCAAACAACCACAATGTAAATGCAAGTGCTTCCATGCTATCAGAGGGGGGGGTGTACATAATGTACTTTGTCTCATTGCCTGCAAAATCTGTGGGTTGAGTAACGCCCAGCTACCCGCTCCTGTGTGGCTGTGCTAGTGGTCGAAGTGTGGGAGGTGAAGGTCGCGGTGGAGGACGTACTGGACCTCTCTGATTGACAAATCACAAGGGGTAGTTATGAACCTGCACTTGGGCGGGACATGTTCTACCACCATGAGGTGACGCTTCAAACGAGGCAGCACAGTTGGATGACAATGGCTGTTTACATCCTCATCCGACAGATTGGTTCGCAAAGCAGCGGTGGACGGTGATGACCCAAACACACAGTGCACACACACACTTTGCAACATGTCGCGGGCAAATGCAAGGCACACACTGTCTTGAGGCCATCACATAACTTCGAACGCACGCTGCTCGTAGATCTGAGGAAAAGTGATAATCATGATTGAACATTCTTATCACATAGGCCTGAAACCTGGCCTAAGTCATCGAGAAATGCTAAGGAACTAAGCAGGCAACCAAATGGATGTGCACGGATGTACAAAGTGAACGTGGCAACACCAGTCCTGCCAACCGGCATCTCAGTTCCGGACGTAAAGGTGATTGAACTCGTAGTTTGGGTTGTGCTGGTGATTGTGGTGCTCACAAAGGGCTCGAAGTATCCTGGCAAGGGCACGGATCACGCATATTCTCCTTGCTGAACTGCCTTTAATCCTCTGAGTCACCATCATTAAAACTGGTTGACCCAAAACCCACGGCAAGCAGATTCGAGGTCGGGCAGTTTCCCTACTGAACTCCGCTATTCCCTGCTTTTGGCTGCGACAAAAACTCGAGGCACCACGCAAACTCATGGAATGACCAATTGCATCTTAATAGAGTTTTGGGGGCAACAACAACAGAGAGATGATTAGTTGGACATGCTCCTGACTTAGACATACAGGTGAGGGTCAAACATAGGTACCCAACAAGGGTTAATCTGGTAGATGGAAAGGACTCAAATCTCCGGTCTGATTCCTGGTTTCACGTTGACCCATAGCCATAGATGCAGCTGGAACATATATATATATATATATAGATATGCAGTTTGATGTTGCCCATACTTTGACCCATAGCCATACACAGGGGTTCTGTCCGTGCGCAGCACGCGATATCTTTGGTCACCCGTGTCCTGAGTCCACCAGCAGGCCGTCCCGGCACCGCAGCTGCTGCGGCACCGCGCGGAACGCGGAGCCGCAGCGCGGCTGGCAGCCCAGGCCGTGGAAAGTCACGCCTGGCCAACTGCCCACCCCCCCACCCCCACCCCCCCTCTTCCAAGACCTCCACCATGTTCAGTAGCTCACTTGCTGAGTGGATGGACCAACAAGAGTTCAAACTATATACTTGCCACTAAAATGGTCATTCCAAAATTTTAAAGTTCATGAACTCAGGAAGTTAGGTAGGCGAAGTGGGGACCCCGCGGGGCTATGGAAAACAAACCCCACTTGAGAACCAAAAAAAACTCCCAAAGACTCATCCAGAAACTTCCCTTGCACAGGGGGGATAAACCCCTCACCCTGCTGTGGGAAATGGAATCCACTTCTGTGATACAACCAAAAGGGCCTCCCAAAGACTAGTCCATAGAAAGTGGGGATGCCCTCGTATCACAGAAGTGGGGATAAACCCGATACAAAAAAGCCCTACAGACTCATCCCCCATATAAAGCGGGCTGTATCACAATACAACCCTGTTCCCATGAAACGCCACCCCAAGAGACTCACTTTAAGTGGCCCCAATAAGGTGATATTCGAAACCATCCAAGGGGAGATATTGGACCCATGTGCACCCTCTTATCAAACAAGCTACGCATGCATGTCTGAGTGCTTGTATCTTTCCACAACATAAATACAGTCATACTGGGATTGACATATAATTGTTACTGCAAGCAACAGCCTCCCTCGCCTTCCACCTTTCTGCTCCCCCATCTGCCTTCGCCGCACGACGGGGAGAGCGCACCGAGCACATTGTGGGGACTGCGGCAGTCCTGTCCTCAGCATGCCAATGAAACAAATCTGTCACGGCATCTTGGCAAATTGATCTCGAATTCCTAAACCAGGAATAACTCACTTCCTGAGTTGATGGGCCAAACGAAGTCCAACCTCCTTGTGTACAGGAAGTGCGTTAAAGATCTCTAAGTAAGGGACATTCATCATGCGCGAGCTCGCTTTACCAACCCATGACAGCGTTCGCTGAAGTTGCCCAAATGTCAGGGCAACTCATACAGTACTATAATTATTCACCAGCCCAAACTTCTCTTATCAATTCTCAGAAATCTTTGGGGAGAAATACCGCGATTTCGACGAGTTCACCAAACCCATTTGCATGTTTGTCATGCAAGGGGGACTATGTTCTGATGAGTGGAGGTCAAAGCCTTGGCCGACGGTCAACTGGCAAAAGCCCATCCCAAGTTTGGCAGAAGCGGTCAGAAGGCACAAGGCAGGGGGGCCGAGAAAATATTATCTTTCGTGTACCAAAAAGGAATACGATATCTGTATCAATATCCATTTGGGTCAAAACCCCGTGCCCCCAGTGAACATCCCAATCCCCACTAAAATAGGTTCTAGAATGGGTGGTGCATTTACCAACCAAAATGGTACCATTGGTGACCCACAGCCATCAATCTATACAATGGTCCTATTACATGCCAGCAATCTCCCCAGCTCTGGGCCCAACCACGGGGCTCATGGCATGGCGAGTAGAGGCTGATCAAGCTGCAGCAAAATTAGATAAGTTTGTGTGTCACCCCTGGCAGCATATGTAATTATCTCGGGCCGACCAAGCTGCAGCAATAGTAAACTCACTTCCCAAGTTGACTGGCCAAAAAAAGTCTGAACTGTTTATTTACCACTAAAATGGTCTTTCCAAAAAGTTTAAAGTCCATCAACTCAGGAAGTGAGTAAGCCTGTGTGTCACCCCTCGCACTTTCAATTAGACCCAGTGTGCTATGAAGTGGTGTCTCATCAAGTGACCAATCATCGCCGAGCTTCGGCAAGAAACGGCGCCAGAGTACTGCAGGTGACCGTCAAAGCAGAAGACCTGAGCAGCGCTCAGTGATTCGAACTCGCAAGTAAGCCCAACTCTGGTCCCACATTTGTTTCAAGCATCATGGGCTTTCAAGGTACTGCATGACACATCACATGTACCCAGTAGCCCAAGCTAGCTTGAGGTACACGCAGCCATCGTCTCGTCCGGAATGACTGCATCTTTCTGCGTTTGCCATCTTGTCAAGCCAAAGTGGTGAGTGCTCCAATGCCTATATTCTTCCACGTGCTGAGTCTTGGAACAACCAAAAATGATTGGTTATGCGACCTCGATGAATATGATTGAAGAAGCATTGTCCACATTATCTATAAAGCCTGGACATGTATTGTCGTTTTGACAGGGACTTGAACCGGGGGCGGTGCATGAACCCTTTGGTTGATACGAAACAATAAAGAGGATCTGCCCTGATTCTAGCAGCTTGAAGTCACTAACCACGCGATTCTGGATGTAACTTTTCCACGTATGTTAAATGTCCTCTTGACACAAAGCTCAACTTTGAGGACCAATCAGGTAATTTTAAAGACAATACGCCCTGTTAACAAGAAGGGCTGGAATAAGCTTTTGGATCAGTGAGAAACAACATGGAACAACATATTGATCTGCAGGAAAGTCTTTCCACGCATCCTTGGCCAGTACAAGAACCCCGCTCGGGTTTCCACACTGCAAGAGACTGTCACACTAGTACGAGCTGACTTCCCCGCAAGGGTATCACCCGCTGGGTGATTGGGTATTGGATCCCCACCGTTCAATTCAACACCTCTTTAATGAGCTGGCGACTGCATTGTGCAATTACGGGAAGCAGGGCTTGCCATTTCACATTTGCAGAAAAACAAGGAACCTTTCAATAGCCCGGTCTCAATATTCCCCACAGCAACAGTAAGACAAGAACAAAACAATATTTGTTTGAAGAAAACACAATAATAATAACGCGAGTCGGCGAGTCGCCTGGCCCTCACTGGTGGTGCCAGCCGGACATTGGATCTCACAGTGCCGGCTATGCCTGCGCCATGGGGCGAACTGCGCCATGAAAATCCTCCGGTCTTGAGGCCCTCATGGTAAATGTCTTGACGAAGAACATGGAAGCAGTGGACTTTGAATGTTCACTCCTCATGTTGTGTTCAGGCCTTTTGAAAGGCGCACGTTCACCAGAAACGATGAACAAGGTCCCTCCATATGTGACCAAACCCGGTAAAACTGATTGATGCCCAACTGACAATCTGAGGTTGAGCCAGACTCTTCATGAATCTGATGACCTTGGTACGGGATACCGGACACGTACCTCACAAGTGGACTTCCACGGGTACGGCTCGAGAAACGACCAAAGGTCACAGGAGCAAAGCGCTGCAAAGAAACACGAGTCGCAAACACACACACACAGACACAGACACACAGAGATACAGAGACACAGACAGAGACACAGAGACACAGGGACACTGAAACACAGAGACACAGAGACACAGACACACAGAAACAAAGACACACAGACACACAGACACACAGACACACACACACAGACACACACACACACACACACACACACACACACACACACACACACACACACACACACACACACACACACACACACACACACACACACACACACACACACACACACACACACACACACACACACACACACACACACACACACACACACACACACACACACACACACACACACACACACACACACACACACACACACACACACACACACACACACACACACACACACACACACACACACACACACACACACACACACACACACACACACACACACACACACACACACACACACACACACACACACACACACACACACACACAGCACACACAGCACACACAGCACACACAGCACACACAGCACACACAGCACACACAGCACACACAGCACACACAGCACACACAGCACACACAGCACACACAGCACACAGCACACACAGCACACACACACACACAGCACACACACACACAGCACACACACAGCACACACACACACAGCACACACACAGCACACACACAGCACACACACACAGCACACACAGCACACACACACACAGCACACACACAGCACACACACACACAGCACACACACACACACACACACACAGCACACACACAGCACACACACAGCACACACACAGCACACACACAGCACACACACAGAGCACACACAGCACACACAGCACACACAGCACACACAGCACACACAGCACACACAGCACACACAGCACACACAGCACACACCACACACACACACATACACACACACACACTCGCACACGCACGCACGTGGATTACACACATGAATGTTGGTTGCATAATTAAGAGTACATGGGCAGAATACGCGAGCCCGCGATGTCCTCTCCAAACCAGCCAAACGCAGCGTACCGATAGTGTTGAGTTGGTGCATAGCTTTCTTTGTACAGTGTCTAAGTGGTTATCTACCTCTTTTGCCAAACTTATATGAACGCTGGTGCGTGGCATTAATTTTGTCCATCCAACTTGGCAACAGGGCTCCCTGTTGCCCTTGAACATCACCCTGAAAGAAAGCTCACGTGAAAATTGCCCTATGTGACTTGGCCCACATCTGAGGAAATTACTTGCTTTTGTAAAGACTTTGTTTCATATTCAGTGCAGCCAAGAACAAAAACGCCACATAGATACATTTAGGGAGACCCCAGCTAAAAGGCCATGTTCACCTCCGGCCCGAAACTCCATGGAGCCCAGGGTCTCCGGCCCACCGGGTGCCGGCCACCTGGCCTCAATGCATTCCCTGCGCAGACCGCAGCCAACGCACCCGGAATCAGCGGCAGCGGGCAATCGCGGCCGCAGGTGAAGCTGCCGGGGCTCAGCCTTCGGTTGATCGCCGAAACAACTGCCTGGAGTTGAGATTTGCGAACAAAGAAACAGACAAACAAGGAAACGAACAAGCAAGCAAAGAAACAAAAGAAGGCAAGCAAGCAAGCAAAGAAACAACAAATCGCCAATATTTTGTTGGACCTTCACGACAATAATGAAGTTTGCCAACTCAGCAAGTTGGAAAGGGGGAACCTCTGCCCAGTTCCCATTGGTCTCAAACCATTTGGGTTTCCCTTTCTAAGCTCGCTGTAAGGGCCACCCAGTTCCAGGCAGAATGTCCGGATGGTAGCCTTGTCGGGGTTGTTTTCAACTCATGCTGGCTTTTGTTCAAGCAATCCGCCAATCCCTTTTGTTGAGCCCATGCAACAACGGAAGTGCTAGGAAGCAGCTACAGTGCTTACAGCTTTAAGATGCTGGGATCCAGCTTGGAAAAGGTTAAGCGAGCGAAGAAGATGCTAGGAATACAATAGACATAAACAGGCTGTAGACTGACTAAACCGCTCTGTTAAGGGTAACGACACAATGTGCTCAACGCAAAAACAGCTTTTGACAGGCACCAACTCCTGAGTCATGTTGCAAACAAACGGTTCTGCCAAGTGCGGTCGATTGGTTGATCCCATGGATGAGCGGGTTGGTCGAGCAACAAGCGACAAGTCATCTGCAACACTATTTCAACTAACAAGAGCTCCGCTCTATATAAGGAAGGCTTCAAACCATTCAGCGAAAACGTTGCAAACTACCTTTTTTTCTTCTTTGCTTCGGCAAAAGAACCGGGGAATGAAGGGGACATGCAAGGGAAGTGCAGGGAAAATGAAGGGGGCATGAAGGGGACACGAAAGGGAAACAAGGGGAAATGCAAGAATGTAGGGGACAGGAAGTGGACATGACAGGAAAGCGAGGGAAATGAAAGGGAAACGAAGGAGAGCTGAAAGGGAATGAAGGGGAAAGGAATGATAAATGCAGGGGAAGTGGAGGGGGAACGAAAGACAAACAAAGCACAAACAAATCAGAGAACGCAAAGCGAGACATACGCTTGCAGGGTGCGTTGACAAGGACAGTTTCACACCATTGTCTAGATGGGGTCCCTTACGTGGGCATTCAGAAGGGCCCGCTCAAGAGGTATCCCTGCTGATACCAAGACTCTTAGATAGGCATTCAGGCAAGGCTTCAATCAAAGGCGATAACTGGGGGGTCTTGCTCAGTGATGGCGTTTGAGCCTTACCAAACCACGAGAACTCGGGGCATGCTGCCGCGACACACGCCGCTGCCGCTCGCAGCGCAGCTGAGGCTGTCGACGGAGGGGCTGAGCCCAGCCTCGAAGCAAAGGCCCCTTCTCGGGTATACCGGTTGACCTTTGTTGGCTGAACGTCCAAGAAGGGTTTCGGCACCAAATGACAAAGCCAAACTCGCTGGCAAGAAGTCCCCTTCTTGCTGGCAAGAAGGCCTTGCTCCCCTCGTTTCGCTGTAGGGTATGCAACAGGCAAGGAAGAATGGCACCCAGGTGTTTGCTGGTGATTTGCTTGACAACAACTTCCGTGGTCGGGAGCCAAAATCAAAATGCGGCCGGCGTGGAGGTGGGGGGTTCTGCTCATGTTTTCAAGGAAGCTCACAGGGTTACCCTCAAAACAACAGCCCCTCTTCCCCGCGAAAAGCTCTCTTGTCCCTTCTGTTCGACAAAGGCTGTCCTTTTCGGGAATTGAAGGAAGCTAAAGGGAGCCCACCCCATCTTCGGGGCTCCCATTCTTATCAAAAGCGCACGGGTGCTCTGGGGTTGCAGGAATTGGACCGTCAGGGAAAGGACCTACATCGTGGCTTTCGCTGGAATCGCTCGAAACCCGTTAAATAAACTGGGCTGAGAGTACGGACGCCCCCTCAACCGTGTCTCCGATGGTCCCACACGTTGACCCAGTCGGGTCCCCTTTGAATGGAAACCACCTCTAAACCCTAAGGTTGCTTCCCCATTCTTTCCAGGGATCCTTTCCAGAAAACCTCCGGAAACCACAAGAAAAAACGGATCCGGTTTTTGGAAACCATGGTTCAAAAGAAAGGAAACAGGACTCAACTAACAGGACTCAACTCCCAAGCTGGTTCCACCCACACAAAGCCATGCGCCAGGTGGCACACCGAGTGGTGCACTGCGCCCCTGGCAGGATCTGGGCGCCCTCCTCGCAGCCGTCCACCTCGCTCCGTGGAAGAAGGGAACTCGGACGAAAAATGCAGAGAGGAGCCTCCAAAAAGAAAAAGGATTAACATATTTATGATGCCGCAGAAAACTACCAAAGGAAAAACCCTTTTCCGCAGAAAAACAAAAAAAGAGGGAAGTGGGCACCAAAGGCAGGGCTTGAAGCACCAACCATGAGAGAAATGTGGGCGAACCCAAGTTCAAGCGCTGCCCTATTTTTAGGACTCACCCCCATAGTGAGCCTTGGGCTGTGTATTTAAGGTTGCTGTCCCTAGGATTTGAGGCGAGTTCCTTTTGCTTTATAAAATTTATAAACATACGAATTTATCGGGGCTTCAGACCCATGTCTCACTTCCTCAAGTTTAAAGCCCAGGAACTCGAACGGGAGTGAGCCGGAGAACTGATTGGTTAAGCCAAGAAGTAGAGTGCCCAAATGGCAATCTGTGTAGCCGGCAATTGGGGGCATCTCGGTATCAATAAATTTGGGTTTGGTTGCGGCAAGCTGGTTGCGTTTGCCGCCACTCCCAGTATCTTTGGACATGGAGTCAACTGACCGTCTTGAAAGTGTGGTTTCATGCTACATGGCTAATTGGCGGTGAATACCTATATGCGCTTCAGGGATCACATGATGCTTCAAAGCCACGCACCCATTCATCCAAAATGTGTGCTTTCCCATCTTGGGCGCACCTGTCTCCAACAAATGAACAAGTCTCAGACCAAACATGCTAAGCCTCCAACTGCCATTGTAGTTTCAGCCGATCACCCTCCGCAGAGCAGCCGATTTATTTTGCTCTAACAGGGGAACTCACATATTCTTGGGAACTGGGGATTGAAAGGAACGCTAAGTACTAGAATACCACCCCCTGGCGCTTTGCGGAAGAATGTCCTAGTGCGGACGACCGCTTTCAGATGCTTTCAGCAGGTGTGCACCTGCAATGAAGCTATCCTGGGAAACACAAAAGGCCAAGCCTCAGGGATTCAAACAGCACAGCCCTTTCGGGCTACTCTGCCCAACACAAACAGCGCCTACCCAAAGATGGTTAACATGAGAGATCTCGCAACGCGATCTATGCCCTGTTTAAAGGGATGCGCGTTCAGCAAGGGGCGTCCGGGGCCTTTTATCCGGCTCGAAAACGACCTGCAGGTCGTGAACACCAAAGTGGCCTTCTTTGTGAGCTTGTCTAAGGCTGCGTTTGGCAACGTAACCCCTTGATCACCAATGGCCGACATGAACCGGGTGGTCTCCAAAGAATGGAGCGCGTTTGAGAACAGAAAACTGGCTTGGCAACGTTTGCTTGAGAATGCACTTTGTGATGTGTTGCTCGGCCAATGCCTAGATATATTCAATATCGATAACTAAAACCTTGTGTTTGACGGCAAGATTGCTGCGCGGAAAAATTCAACAGCCCGTCAGTTGCCAGGACAGGCCAGTCTTACGGCTCCTATGGAGGCCCACAGAAAGTGAACCTCACATCTTGCACTGAGATGTTGACGTGGGGCAAAACGGTAGTGCTTTGACTCACCAGCCTCAAGAGAACATCCTCCATTTCTACCTCCGAAAGTGGCAGTTTCATTTGGAACCCACCAGAAAGTTGTAAATACTCATTGATCCCCGTTCACGCCCGGTTGACCTGGTCATTCTGAGGGGCAGGGGACTCGCACATCTTCAAGCAGGCAAAGCTCAGGGGTGTCCTGGGCACAAGCATGCACAAACCACGCCGCGGAACGTAAACAAAGGGGTTCCCAAAAGGAGATGGCTCCTCCATATTGATCTGCAGACGGTTAACAGTAGTCAAGACATACTTGAGGGCTGTTCCCCACCCCACGGAAGATACCAAGCCAACAACTGATGGCACTCGTTCTGCACTAAGCTCCTATTGGGGAACCTTTCTATCTAACCACAAATGGCAACGGATGTATCCATATGTGGTACCTTGCAAGCTTCCTCCATGAGGTTTGCCCGCCTTGAACGGAACAACTTTCCGTTGATCTGAACGCCACACAAGAAGGGCTCCAAAGGGCTCCAAAGGGCTCCAAAGCCCAAAACACGATTTACCATGCAAAGTGTACCTGCGTTTTGCCAAGTGCTGTTGAGAGATGAGTTGGCCTGCCAGGGGTTCCAAAAAATGAGCCATGTCCGTGTGACTGTCTGGCAATCATCCCAATGGCTGTCTTGTCAACAGAAGCCTTGCTTTTCAAGCGAAGTGAGCATGCTGCAGCCTCCTCAATGTGCATTGGCTCAGCTCTTTCTCTGAGGTCGGTGCGCGACCCTTGCAATCAACCAACACACGGGCATAGCAGTGACAAGATACGCAACTGGGCTGCCCTCAGATCCCCCGCTAAAAGTTTAACTTTTTGTGGTTAAATGGAAATCCCAACTAAACAATAAAAGGCTAAAAAGCTAAGGGGATGGCTTGGGAGCCACCAAGGCAATAATGATGCAACCAGTGGCATGCTATTCAAATCCAATTCTGCCCAGGTACTGGCACTAATCTAGCTTCGGTGATTCGGTGTTCTCAGAACTCTTTGCGTTGGGAGTGATAAAGCTAAGAACAAAGGCCCAAAAGTATATATGGATAAATATATATATATATATCAATATATGGATATATATCAACCAAACTAAGACTGTGAACGGCTTGGAACGGCTCGGGAAGCATTCTCGGAAAAGAACCAATGGGCACGCCCACACGCACTGTCTCGCAACCATACCACGGCGAACCGTCTGCGCACTTGGGGTCGACCGCTCGGGCAACCCTCCGCGGACTTTTAGGAGTTGGACCCCTCAAAAACTCGCTGTCATGTTTGCATTGTTTGGCTTGCACCCCCATCAAATGGCAAACTCTCTGGAGATGTTCGGGCGGTCAGCCACGGCCAAATGGATTTGCAAGTGTTTTTCATCATCTAACTCGATGTACTGGGTGAATTAGACAGCTGCTGACGATCTCATTAGCTAGATTTGGCTAGCCACCTAACCGCACTAGCCAGCTAGCCAGCTAACTCTTTTTTGCTAGATACTGCAAGTAGTTCGCCGAATTAGGTGACAAGCTGGACAACTAGCTAATGGGCTTTCTAACCTGCGAGCTTGTTGGCTAACCCAAGGTAAGTGGCTGGGCTGACCAGCTTTCTGTTCATCTAACTAGCTAGCTTACCGACTTGTCCAACTCGCTGATGGATTGATGGAATATGGAATCTAGTGAAACAGCTCGCAACCATAGGTGGCCTTTTGGAAAAATAGATGGCCCTGGTAAATGGAATAAACCATCTAAACCAGGGCCTTCTGTTTTCAACGCAAACCAACCAAACAGGACACCTATGATGTTCGCAACATGACGATCCTAGATTTGTCAGGGCAGGCACAAACATGGCTTACTGAAGAGCTGATGTGGACTCCGACTCACATCGACAGATTGGCTGGTTGATATCCACGCCGTATTTCATTTTAGAAGCCGGCGTTCCTGCAAAATGATACAAACCACCGTGGATGCAGGCAAATTTCAGAGCTTCCGACACATCCTGCTTGATTCTGCTGAGCGTATGATTGAACACATCAATATAGCTGTGGGTCAAAACCCTGTACCCCTGGTGAACATAAACAAATAGGTGGCAAATGGATGTTCATCCGCCTCAAAATGGGATCGCCATAGGTTATGCAACCCATGGCCATAGCAAATGCCAGTTGAGCCTGCTGAACTTCCTGTACCCCACACGGATGTAGCGTCACCTTGAGGGGTGGATGTTCTATTGACACTCGTTTTGTCACATGTGACCCACCCAATTCTGGAGACACACCGACCCCATGGATCCACTGGGCAAATTGCTCTCAAAGTGAAAATCAGAAGTCCCCACGTAGACCTTGGGCATTGCTGGTTTCACCGGAGTGAGAGATTTATCGCCGCGCGTCAAAGCGCCGTCCCAGCAGTAGAGCGAGGCGAAGTTGGGCACGTAGCCAGGCAAACAGCTGGCGGTGCAGCTTGAGTTGTGCTGCAGAGTATAGCCTGCGGACAGTGAAGAAAAACTGAATGAATGAACTTGTGATATGTTTTTTTTGGTTGTCCACGCGCCTTGCAACATCCCGAAGCAGCTAGTTGGATACATATGACATATGTGATGTGTTCATGTATTTACAAGTGCATATATATATATATTACACAGGTTCATTGCATACCTTTTGTTTTCTTGCTTGACCAGGAGCTTTCTAATCCTTTGTTCCGATTGAGTGCCCACACAGCAGAAGAAACAAGCGTTAAAGACTGGCAAACTTGTACTACGCTCTTCCGGCTTTGGGGAACAAAGCTGTTGAATCTAGTAATCCTAATCATGAAGCTTGCTCTTGCTACCTAGGCGCAAATCACAACATATTTCACACAAATAGACTCAACGTGACGCAATGGCCATACCAGCCATACCAGCAACGGCAAGCGGTTTCAACATCTGCAAGCTACGCGACAGAAGGCAATACATATCACTTTGCTTGGTGGCAATGGAGATGTGACGAAGGAGTTGACATTGCTACTCAGGGCTGTGTGAAATGACCACTTCTGTGATACAACCAAAAGGGCCTCCCGAGGACTAAGCAGCCATATAAAGAGGGGATTCCCTTGTATCACAGAAGTGGGGATAAACCCCTTGATCCCACAACCCTATTGCTACTTGTCAACTGTTGGGGGCCATATACACAATGTGTGTGTGTGTGTTGTCCTACGGGCAGTCAACCTCGAAAATATGTTGACATACATGCCACCCAGTGCAAGTGATGAATGACGCGGCAGTGTCCAGGTACAGCCTTCATGTGCTCGTGTGAGATGTGTTTGCGTTGCGTCGGTTTTTCGTGTTTGTGTGCGTGTGCGTATGGGGACTGTGCCCAAGTTACAGTGTATGAGAACGGCTGCCAGCAAGACAACTCTACCGTCCATTCGTCTTTCCTTGTAAGTTGCAAACACAGCAGGAACCCGACAGCAAATTCAGCGCGATATCTTATGAGCAACTTCACCAGCGCCGTATTCAAACAAAGGGAAAGTGTCAAGGATCCCTTCAAAATGGCGGGGTTCGTGTCTTTGTTTGTTGCCTTTGCGGGCATACAACCTCCTACTAAACTCAAACCTAGGAGTAACACATATGGATTGATGCAATGGTCCAAACAGACTGAAAACACACTCTGTCTGCATTGATCATAGTGTTTCCAAGATTTCCAGGATCATGTAACTTCACTGAGTGCACAATCCAACCGAGTTGGTGTCATCCTTTGAAACTGCCCCTTGTCCAGTGTCAGGATTTCCTTGTGCTTGAGCAGCGAAAACCCATTGACTTTTAATTTGAAGGTGAGAAAGGTTCAGGCCTTGATCTAATCCCCATTCAAGCAAGTAGAAACAGGATCCCTTAAAACCGCATTGCTCAAAAACTGGGGATCCCTTATCCACTACATAACCAAGGGATGGGTTTGCGCTGAGGATCTTGATGTTGAACAACCCACTCACTTCTTGGTTCGAACATGGCTAAGATTCAGGCCTTTCAATTCCCATTCAACCCAGTAGAAACTTGGACCCCCGAGAAAATACAAAAGAACGGGTTGCGCACAAAAAACAAGAAACCTACTCCGTCATCCGTGGGATGCCACCAGGGAAACGCTCATCCGAGCGGATGGAGCGAAGGCCCTGACCTTCCAGGCAAGGAGGCGACTCTGCGAAGGAGGCGCTGGACAGAAAGCAGGGGCGCACCCTCTCGCCTCGTTCCAAATGGACCAAATCGACTAAACGAACCCCGTTCGGTGACACGCAAATCCCAGTTTTCAGTGGCACTCAAATCGCGTTGTTGGTTTGGTGGGACCGGGATCCGATTTGACATCAAGCCCAGAAAGGCCAAGCCCTTCTGGCAAACCCTTGGGAAATCGTATGGGCCCTATGGGGCCCTTTGACCTTGCTGGGCGCAAAGTAAAACCAAACCTCCCAGTCGAGGTGTCATTCTCCCTCTGCACAAGGGAAGAATCTTGGATCCAAGGGGGAACCCTTACCAAACGGACCCTCGATCGCCTCAAAAGGCCCTCAATGCCTCTCAAATTCTCCGGACTTACCAACATGGAAGGAGTACTGCTCCTGGGTCTTTGCCATCAGCGGTTTCATCGCGTTTACCTTCCTATCCCCCTGTGTTGTCCCATTGAACCCTAGCCTGGCGGCTTACCCCCGACCAAAGCGGGACCCACTCAAGATAGTCCACCCGAGTTTGGAAAGGCTTTGCGCGTCACCTTGCCAAGGCAACGGCTCGGTCCCGAACGCTCGGAAAGGCACGGGAGCTCCTTGTGTCATGCACAATAAGCACAATTGGTTCGGTGGTTCGTGAAATCAGAAGTTCTGCTTGATCGCTCATTTAGTCTGATACTCGTTGTCCGGTCATACGAGCCCAATAGACCCTACCACCAGCTGATGAGAGCCAGCAATAGTACTTATTCCATTTGTCCTTGTGTGGAAAGACTTTGCATGTGTTCCCAAATAGCCCCCCCCCCCCCAAAAAAAAAAAAGCACGGAAACAAATGGCTTTCCTTGTGGTTGCCCCTCAAGCCAATTCGAAAAGGATACACTCAACAAACCAGAACATATTTCAGGAAAATAGCGGCGATTGCTTGGTCATGTTGGCTGGGTGCGGCTGACAAAAATGCCCGAATTCTGCGCTAGCTCACAATGTGGCCATAGAGACATATGGGCCATACGGGTGGCTCGTCTCTTTTTGAGGGTACACATTTTGGGTTGTTCTAAAGGGAAGCCAACAGGGCAATCCATGTTGGAGGTGCCCCTTCTGCCAGCTGTCATGAGCCACTCGGAGCCTCAGCGATATTGGAGGGCCGTCTATGCACCAAGAGAGGGAAAGGTGGGTTTGTTGCATAGGGGAACCTCCAAACTTGGTGGCTGCCCTTTGGTTGCTCTTTTCAGCCCCCGAAAAGGGTGCCCCCCAAGGAAGACATATTCCGGTATCTGCAGGTCAATTATCCCCTTTCAACATCACCCCCCCCCAAAAAAAAGAAGAAGGGACAATTGCGCAAAAATGGCCAAAATGGTGATGCTTAAGCCGGCCAAACGGGATAACGCGGGATGCCTGTTTTGTGTTCCAAAACTGGCCCATGTCATTATTTTCAATCATACTCCCCAACCACTAGGTTACACGAAACAAATGGAAACAAACTAACCAGTCTCTGACTTGACTTGCTGGTGCTAAGGGAATGCGAGAATGAACCACTAGGTCTCCTTAAAGGAAACCACCAGTTGGATGGTTTGTATCGGGGTGATTCCCTTTCTCATTCCCTGCATCTCTCGCACCAGCAAGTTTAACCCAACAAACCAATCAGTCTCTGACTGTATTTTCAAAAACATCTTTCAACTGATAGGATACCAGAACTCTAGGGGTTCATTGCCCATTCTTTGTTTTCAAAAACCATCTGTTTCCCCTGGGGTTCTGATGGTTTTCTGGAAAGAAGGATGCCTGGAAAGAATGGTTGGAAGTGTCCCCTAGAATACAGTCCTTAAAGGTTCCCCAAAGATTCACATCTAGACTTAACTGCCAGCCTTGGGGAAGCTTTGAGCTTTTGCTTTGCAAGCAGGACACAGTTTTGACCTCTCAATGAGCCAAGGGATCTCCAAGGAAACCACCACTTGGATGGTTCATTAAAAACAAAAAAACATTCCAACTCATTCCCTGCATCTCTCGCATCAACTTTAACCCAAAGGGCCCACGTCTTCCCCCCAAAACAAAATCGGGCCAGGGCGCACTGGAAGCCGCCGGGCGAAAAGGCGCCATCCAGGCAGCTCAGCTGCGCCACGCTCGGCAGGTATCCCTCGCCTCGGAAACCACTCGGTCTACGTTCGGGCCGTTTTTGGCATGCCCCGTGAAACCAAGAAAATCAACAAAACAGGGGATTTGACTCAACACACAAGGCTCCCTTTTGGATCCCCTTTTGATTCCCTTCCGTCAGTTTCCTTTAAGCTCCAGGTCGGTCTACGTTGGTTCAAAAAAGGCTAACCTTGGGGCCATGACTCAAAATGGGCCAAAAGGGGAAAAGCGAAAGTTCAAAAGGTCGGCTTTGGGCAAGTGAGTTTTGGATTGTCTTTAAACTCAAGGGATTCAACAAACGTGAGTCGCACCCATACACCCATACCAAAGGCGGAGCCTGACCGGGGACCCTGGAAGGCCATTTTCTACTAAGCAGTGCCCCTCTGGTGGGGTTCATGATAGACAGGGGATAAGGCCGTATTTCTACATGTCCCAACACCACCCCACAAAAACCCTTGGACATCTCTGACAAAAAAGCTGGGCTAGATAGGCCTTCAGGTGTTCACAGATTGACGCGGCCTTCCCAAGCCTTTGTCGTAAGTTGGGGAACCCTTTTGTTTGTGTGGTTTTCTTGGTGCCTCAAACAAGAAGGGAAGCGTATTCGCAAGAAAAGAATCCCACCCATGTGCTTGAAGGGAATCCAGGAGAAGACCGGAGTATAATTATCAAGCCGAGTATAATTATCAAGCAGTAGAATCGAAGGAGAACATGAGGTGCACCAGCCCCCAACATTACACGTCAGTCGGGGGCGCAAATTACATGTCCTAATCTAACCCAGCGGCAGAGAAATCTTGAATTGCGAAGGTAGGCACATCAAATTAGTGTTTGGTTAGGACAGTCAATTCGACTCCAGGTACTCCAATGCTTCGCTTTATTCCTCAATTGATCCGCAGCTCGCTTACAACATGAACCGGACTGGTTTGAACCATCGATGCAGCAGGCCGAACCTCCAGGAATGGAACTGCTGTCGTGAGTGAGGTCGCAACCCAGCTTTTTGAGGTTGCCCCAGTTTGCCCAGAGCGATGTCTAGGGCAGGGAACTCTACAATGGGTTGCCCCTCGAAGTGCCTGCAAAACAGCTCAAAAAGGCACCCCAAAAAACGAGAAGACATTCTCTCCCTCGTATCTTGCACAGCTTAGGCAACAGCAACGGACAGGTTTCCCTATGCGTCCCCGGCTTCCCCTCAAACATAAACACACCACGAGGAAGCTCGCCTTTCCCGGAAAAAAAATCCGAAAAGGTAATGTTGAAATCAAAAGGTACAGTGGAGCTATAGGGCACTGTGTTGGAAGACTTGTCAGTACTCAACATCGGCCGGGCACAGTTGTGCATCAGGATGCCGACTGGGTGTCTCTTGCGTGTTCTGCTTTTTAAGTCTGAGTCTAACAACAGGAATTCAATATCGCCTGGTGAAGAAACACACCATGAACTACATATTGCCTTGTAACCCAGTCAGAAATAGAGGCATGATGCTCTCGACTTGGGCAAAAACCGCTGAAAACAGTGCGGTAAAATGTGAAACATGTCCACAAGAAGTAGTACGGTAATTCAGGATTGCAGACTCGCAAGGTGGATCTCAACATGATTCAGCTGGGCTCCATTGCCGAATAATATGGCACCCAGAAATTCATCATTTGTAGCGGAGTCTCCTTTTGAGTGAGTCCTTTTTGGGTTGAATGTAAAGCTGCAGGAAGTAGATATTGTGCTGGTTCTTCTCTGCGCAGTGCAGAACTTGGTCAATCTCTGCCAATATGCAACGCCCCAAGGAATCTCCGGCATCAAAAAATGCGGAACGGCTTCACGACCAAAGCTCAGCATACTGGACAGTCTTACAAGGGCACTTGCTAGAAAACCAAGGCGCCCAAAAAACTCATGCCAGAGCTGCCGCCCAAGCATTGCATCTATGTACGACTCGCCCGTTACATACCGTACACAAATGCCCATGTTCATGATGTCCACCAACTGGTCAGTGATCCTGGTAGAACAAGGAACGCCTTTTGGGGGTCGATCCAGCTTTATGTTAGGTACCGAACTCACCAAACAACAAACGATTCAGAGCCACTGAACAACTGGCTTGAACACTATCTATTGCTCTTCGCCCCCCCCCCCCCCGCACAAGAAAAACACAAAACAACAGTGTCGAACAACACAGTCCCCTGCACCAATCGGGGACTTTGAACGTCCCAATTTCCTACCCGAAACCGGAAATCCCACCAGGCGCGTCTGCCTAGCCAAAGCACCACAGCTGGCGGTGCACACGCCCTTCGACGCGATAAACGCACCTTCGGCGCAGAAGCCGCCGGAGCCTGGCGTTTTTGGAGGAACTACCCATTCTCATGATTGGAGTTAGGCCCTGGTATAGAATGTATATTCTACTTTTTGCTTCACATGGAGTCACTGGAAAAATGTACAATGTATCCTATAGATAGTCTACCCCAGTGCTGTGGATTGAAGGGAAACAACCTTGTTCGCTCTCTTTTGGGGGCACCTCCTTTTGGGCGGTGTTGAAGGGACGCCAAAAGGAATGCCAGTTTGGTCAGTCCCCAGTTTGAAGCAAACCTCTTGGCAGTGTCCAGAACCATGCCGTGACAAAACTGTTAAACACATACAGAGCAAGTTTCCTACATCGGGCAGTTGTACCCTGCAAAACAACGCCAACACATGTGATGGGACTTTTCAGCAACCTTAGGGGACTCACAAACTGGTTCCGTTTGGGCCAAGCCTTTTGGTTCCGAAGTCTCTCAAAAGCTGCGAATCCATCAACTCGAAATGTATGTCTTCTGTCGGAAGGAGCGATCAATCACGGATCAGCGAATCCTGGATGAAGAATTGGGGTATTTCTCAAAGCCACGGAGCCTCCCCAACGTTTGGTTTCGATTGCCTTGTGCTGTCCTGTTCAAGCCAGTGCCTGAACAAAGTCAATGCGTGTTTTGCCTGAGAGACCCTGAAAGGGTCCGAACAAATGGGCTTCAGGATGCTACACGCGTCATTGACATGTGAGGCCAGCTTGAACCAGGGGTCATTTAACATAGGGCCGGCACGTGGGTGTGTCTCAAGAGAGGGAATCTAAGGTTGAACAATGCTAAGGGGACTCGAAAAGGAAGTCGACAACTTCTCGAAAATCCTATTTCATGGAAAGGACCAAAGGGGAATGTGTCTGGGACCTTGCAGGTGTTGTCTTTGTGGTTGGTTGATGCCCATCCAACAAACTATAAAGAGCGTACCTGCTTTTGACAGCTACTCTAATCAGCCGACTTGCAACTCGGGGAATTTACGTTTGCTTCTCGAATGAGTGGATCTGTACACAATGTCAGCCCATGCACCAATCTATCAGAAACATTGGTGATCTGTCGAGCCTACGAATAAGGAACCACCCTAAAACATCGCAATCACGATGCCAAACCACGACATTGTCGTTGCCAATGGCCCACTCCACCTTCCGGCTCTCGCTTGCATCAGCAGCTGCTCAATCCGCAAGATCAATCATCCACCACAAAGTTGGCCAAACAAACAAGCGGGGATACGGAGGGAGCGGGGATGTGGGGGGATTCCCTTGGCGCCATTCCCAAAATTAGTCAAGGTGCATTTAGGGGGAATCCTCCCGTATCCCTGAATCCCCCTGTATCCCTAGTTGGTAAAGGCGAGCTTTGGGTTCGTCAGCACCACGAGCCGCGCCCAAGACGCCCGCAGCTTTGGATTCCGTGCTTGGAGGCAGGGTTGCTGCGATTTTCCCCCATACTTGAACCCAACATTTGGACACGATTGACATTCACCAAGCCATTGGGTTCACTATGCCAGGAATATTCATCATGAGCTCGCATACCGAAGCAACAGGGCTGAACGGGTGCTATTCAACCAAAATGAACTTATGACCCCACAACTTGGTTGCTCGCTAAGCAAAATCACACCATGTCCAACTTCCATGTGCCTAGCACCGCAGGGCAGAAGAGCTCGCAAAGAAAGGTGGGCGGCGACAGGATGCCTCCGAATCGACTCGGCACCCGCTTTGGACGACGTGTCACACACTCTGCAGCAATGTTTGGCTTTGCGCCTCGCGCAAAAACAGCAAACACAAATCTCAAGCCTGAACATCCAACCAAATAATTAGCAGCTAAGACATGGGAAAACATGGGACGTCTTCTTTTGACATGTTCCCTGGGTAGCAAACAGAAGGACTTCACAACACACATGAAAACGTCATGTCACGCCTTGCGTGGTTGCTTGCAGCGAACCCCAACCGACATGGGCTAAGGCTACCCGAACCCTTTTTACAAATCAGCAACTACTACTTACTTTGCCTTCAAAGCAGTATCTTAAGCAGGGTAGGGACCTAACAATCAGCCATAGTGCAGTTCATATTTTATGTGACCAGTTTGAGCAAGCCTTAGATCTTACGCCATTGTTCCTCCCTCGTTTGTCAATCCGGGGTCGGAACTATCGAGAAGCAGGTCATGAAGTCCAGGGCAAGCGTTTAAGGAAGCATCAATGGTTCTTGGGTGATTCGCTCAAACATTGATTCACTTCGCAGTCGGGCAGTTTGAAACTTGAAACAAATCGCCTAGCACAGTCCATTGGCTGGAGAAGTGTGTTCAGCATGTCCCAGCAGAAGCAAGACAACACAAGTAGCCGGTTTGGAGCACTGACCAACTATTCTGGCGCTCAGCCGAGACCTCCAGTAGCCGTGGCAAAAAAAAGAGCACCCTTCGGCTGGCGGAAAAAAAATCGAGCGGAACCCCCTTTCAATTAAAGGGATACAGGGCACCACTGACACCGCATGTTTGATGGGTGCTCATTGCCCCTGCCTACCATTCAAGGCCTACATCTCTCCTCTCTTGGACGCAAGGCGCCGTTTGGAAGGTCTCTCAGGAGGTACCAAGGGGAACTCTGTCAAAACGCGGGACTCTCCAGAGTTCACTTACTTTTGAACTTCCTTGTGAACTTGTCCCAACAAGTGCTTGGCTGAATGATCACAAGGGAAATCAAGAGGAAACCTGGCAGCCTTTTGTGGAATGCAGAATACCAATACCGGTACCCTTGTTGGCTGAGCCAAAGGGAACCCCGCGACATTTTGCCGTCAATCAATTCGGATCAAAATGGTTTGTCTCCTTCTGATGTCCCCAGACTCGCTTCTTGGGAGGATCGGGTCAAAAGTCGACACTTTCTGCCGCCAACCTGGGGGAGCAGGGAAAACGCCCAAAGGAAGTTGCAACCTTTTGGTGGATAACCCTCCCAACATGGAGCCAAGTCATCCCTGGTTTGGACCATGTTCCAACATGACTGGCTCCCGCTTGGTTCCTTCATACTTTTCTGGAACCCTACCAAGCATCTTGCAAGTTCCATGTTTGGCAAGGAAACCCCCACCGTGCCACCCGTTTTGGCCCTGCCGGTTCCCGGGTCGAGGCCTCGCTGGCACAGCAGCTGAGCCACGTTGGGCCCGTACCCGGACCCGCACTGCGTCGTGCAGGCGGTTCCATGGGCCACGTCCTGAGGGAAATTCCCATGAGTTAAAATCTAAACTCAGGGTTAACTCATGGTTTAGGGAAATTCCCATGGTTTTTCCCATGAATCCTAGCAGAGGGAATTTCCCCATGGTTTTTCCCACTTTTTCCACGGTATCTTTGTCTAGTGCTTGAGGGAAACCAACAGTAAAACCACAACAACTTTGAGGATGCCCTAACGGCACACCCATATGGCTATGGGCTTTCAAATGCCAAATCGTACCCAGTGAACATCCCAATCCAACCACGAAAATGGGTTCTAAAATGGGTGGTGAATTCACCTACCAACCAAAATGTACCATTGGTTTTGACCCACAGCCAAATTGGTGTACCCCAGGTAAAGAATTAGAGGAGCGGATATCCGGATATGGCAGCTAGAATTGGTCCTGACCCTCACTTACCGGGTTTTGAGTTTGGCTCTGCCATAAGCTTGCAGGGCCCGAATGGTGGGCTCCAGGTTCATTGCAGGGGAGTAGGTACTTAGAATGATCCAAATGTAGCCCGCGACAAATACACGTGACTTCAGTATGTTTCGGAATGAATTTCTCAGTCTTTGCCAACCCTTCAAAGGAATGGCTCGTTCCAGCTTCAGGCTAGCTCCCCATAATTACAGTATATGCTATCAGACGCACGGTCAATGTTCAGACTGTAAATCATCCTTGTTTCCATTTACCAGGGTTCCATTTTTGGCACCTATTTTTGACCCACAGCCATGTTGTGCCAATTGAGATTCTCGGGGAAGAGGCGCCATTTGCACTCGCAGTTGACATGGGTCAGAGAGCGTCCTGCGTGCCCTCCAGGCAGCTGCCGCCTGGTGGCGGCAAAGTGGACAACGCTTTTGGCGACGCCGAAACAGACACCAAAAAGGAAACCAAAGAAAAACGACAAGGGGAAAAACAAGGACAACTACGTGATAACACATTCAAAGTTAGAGTGCACGACCACGTATGACACGGTTTTGGCAACAAACATGGGTTTGGTCAAAACGTAATTCGGTGAGCTGGGTGGTGATTTGACACAGCCCGAGCACAAATTAGACACTTGTCTTTGGATTTCATGAGTTCTAATAATGTTGCCATGGACAATACGGGCAAACGCAGAGCCTGGCAATCAGAAGTGATCCGCAGTTTCCGTGAAAACGATGGAATTTAATTTGTCGTGTAGCCCTCAGCCCACTGAAAGGAACACAAGAAAAGCCAGCGTATGGTGGCATCTTCTTTCAGGAAATCCTCACCGTGAGTGATATATACGGTTTTGCCAAAAATGGAAGTCCCGGAAGTGCGGCTTGTGGGTCATCAACAAATGCGCATCGTTAGATTGCGACAAGTGCTTCGTCCCAGTGGTGATGCGTGATCAACAAACCCTTTCTTCCTTAGCCGCAGTGGGAACGAACTATACAGTACTGATACAAACTGCACGTTTGGGACATGATAAAGATTCTCTCGAATCAAACCGGCGACCTATGCAAAGTTTGCCTAAGGGCATCCAAAATTGAAGCCCTTCCTACTTCCCCAAAACCCAGTGCTTCGACAAATCGCCACCGGCGTGCAAGAAGACTGCAGCGGGTTCCCTAGCCAACGAAACCAGATCTTTGCAGGCATTCAACCCCACATGGATGTGTTGTTTCCTGTTTTTTGGTAGTCCTTTCTGGTAGTCCTTTTTGGTTTCCCAATAAAAAAAAAACGCAGAAAAACGGGATGCCCAAGTCATGTTGGCCGTCAACGCAAAGGCCAAGCCCCGCCTCTTGGCAGATCCGTCAGCGAGCAGCCTGGCAGGCACTCGAAAGTGCTTGGCACCAGCGCCTGCGTGCAAACGAGACGAGTGTTTAGCCATAGCCAAGGATTCTGGCTGGTGCTTGGACCTCCATTTCAGTAGAGAGGTTGGAATAAGGGTACCCGTTTTTTTTTTGTCTCCTTTTTTTTTCTGTAGTCTATTTTAGTAGGGGAATCCTCCCTCAAAAAAGGGTAAAAGGGCACTACTGGGGACCTCCATTTTCCATCTTTGAATAGCCGGGACAATGCTACAAACCAAAACTAAGTGGGTTGATGTCGCTGGCGTCGGGGCAAGGTTGGACCCCCGTCGAGGGCGATTCATTGCCTTGTCAGTTGCCCGGCTACTTGGGTCCACCCGCCGAGGACACTTTTGCCCGGTGACCATAAAGAGACGAGAGAGAGAGAGAGAGAAGAAAAAAAGTCAAAACTATACAACTATACAATATGTGTACAACTGAACAACGCAATTAAACAGAACGTCACCAAGCAATAGCAACATAAACATGTGTTATGGCTTTTACGGAAGGGAAAAAAAGGAAGAAACACAATAAATAGCAAGAAAAGAAAAAATCGATCAAACAAAGAAACAAACAAACCAACAAAGAAAGAAATCAATAAAGCAAGAAGGATAAGCAAAAACATATATAAAAAAGAGACGGAAATACAGAAAACACAGCCAAAACAAAACTGAGTACAAAACAATGCAACAGCAATACTTGCAAAGAAACGACAACAAAACAAAACAAAAGCGGGGCACTCGTTTTCAATTGGCGGTCACGATCAAGCCAAGCAGGAACCAAGGTGGTGCCCAAACAAGTGAAACTGCGTTGACATAGGCCCCTTGTCTAGATCAAGTAGCGGGTCGGAGTGAACTAAGCCTAAAGTTATGGCTTCTAATCAAGGGCCCTCTCAAGCACCAAAGGGGTCCTTGATTTCACCCAAAGAAGTCCCACAATCGCACTTTTTAAGACCCCTCCCAGGCTTAGATTCACAGGAAACCACCCCCACTGAACTCATGTTTTGACCACCAATAGAAACAGTTGAGTTCAGCAGAACAGGAATGATGAGGCAAACCCGGCAGTCAACTGGATGGCAACGGGAACAACTGCCAAGAATGTCCAACTGGGGCGTAACAACATGTCAATATGTTTCCATACGGAGCTGCTTGGCCCATAAAGAGAAACCCAAACTTACTAACAGCGGTCACCGCTCGCAAATCTCCGACTGATGCAAACAAATTCCACCTATTCAGCTGTCGTAATAAGCATTCTTGCAGTAAGACGAGTGTCTTTACACACACACACATGTGCACCCGAGGCTGTTCCAAATTCCAAGCCGCTGATTTTCTGGAAGATACCGCCCCAAACAACAAACAGCGCCGCCATCCCTTGGGAACAGTCCCATTCCCAACCAAATGGTTCTAGCAGGTTTGGCATGTGACCGATCCCCAATAAACCACTTCTGACCAGCCTTTAATCTTGCCTTCGACAAATTACGAGTCCTATGACATGTTTCCGATTGAAGCACTTGCCTCCTGATGGCACAGCAGCCGCTCTGATGAAGGGACAAAGCCCTCCTGCACGACCAACGCGAAGTTCGAAACGCACCGCAACGATTGGCTGGACCAACTTGGTGTCCAGCAAACAGGACAGCTTACAGCATCCCCCCCCCCACATCGTACACGTGCAAGTTCGTCATGGGGCGGATCGCAGGACAAGCCAAGCTTGCTCCAACTTGGAATCGGGCATAATAGGTCTGTCACACCATGGGCAATCGGCACCAGCTTCAGTTGCCAAAGCTACAGCTCAGGTGGAACGACGCGAAATAATATGTTGCTTCAAAACGCTTGAGGCCAACATCTACAGCTCTGCCGGTTTCGACTGTTGAAGCCGCGCAGCTGCAAGAAAACAAGATTTGAATCCGTAAATGTGAAACAGCATGCGATGGACTTCAAACAGCTTCAGGAGCAAGCTTGTCAGGGCGTGCCTTGATAGCCGTTCCCTTGACGCTGCTGCAGCTTTTGCAGCCAGGAGAATACGAGAAAAGCTCAGGCGGGGTTAAGGACTTTGGTTTAGGGTTTAGGACCAGGTGCATATAATTCTGGATTCCGGCGACATGGTTCCCCGCAAAATGGTTACAGATCCCAGAAAGTGAAATCTTGCTCAGTTAACCAATCCTCAATTTGTGGTTTTCGTTGTCTTGGCGGCTTGGAGGTCAGGGGCGATCTTCCCATTCACTTTCAACAGCAGACAAGGGAGCACATCCCCAAAGCACCATTCCACGCAAGCCAAAAAATCCGCTGCCTAATTGGTTGAAAGGGAAACGCAACACCCCCTGACCAGAGCACGCAAGATGAAACACCCAGGTGCTTCTATATGTCCCACTGAAAAGGCAGCCATTCTCCGTAGCCCCCGAAGTGCATCCGAAGGGGTCAATGGTAAGAAACACGATCGAACAATTTGGGGTCATCAAAGTCCACTCCTGGGTCCTCCCTCTCCGGGTCTCTGTTGTTCCGTTCTCCATTCCAGGAAATCCTCTGAAAACTCGGAGTTTCAGGTGCTTGGAATGCCTGAATCCAAAAGCAGGAGTGGATTGGAAAAGGCCGGAGTGAAAATCACAATTGAAAACAAGTCGGCTTTTTTCGTGTTTGGGCCCGCAATTATAACTCTGTGAACTCGAGTGAGTATTCCACTGTTTTTAGTGAAAGTTCACTGCGGAATCTCCGTCTTTTATTGATTTGCGGGAGTTTGCTGTTTTTTTGCAGGAGTTTGCGGGGTTCTTGCTTCTTTGTGGCACGCTGAGTTTCGGGTGTAGTGTTTTCCAGTTTGCCAATTGTCAATTGTCACCCAAAGGCGCAAATTCAGAATTTATTCAGAAGTCTGAAAAATTATGAATTGTGAATAAGTGATTCTGATTCACATGAACGATTCTGATTCTGAATACTTCCGAGTTGGAGGGCTGCTTCCGTGAAAGTACCGCATGTTTGCGATTTCCAGGGGTTTCAGGTGTGCAAACCCATTTCCAGGAGTGAAAATCAATAGGTTTACCTCAAACACTAGATGATTGAAACTCAGTGTTTTTTGCACTGAGACCCTAAAAGGTGGCAGTCTCCGGATTTTACGTTAAATGTCCACAATCTGGAAGATCCAAGCGGAGAAAAGGCCGGCAATCCATCCCAACACACCGACTCAAGCGCACCTGGCACTGGGCTGTGCAGGCTTGGTCCTCCAGGATAAAGTCCCCCTGGCAAGCTTCACGGCTTCTCTTGGCAAGGGCTCGGGCAAACAACCGACACCAAAGACGCAGCCAACGATCCCAGAAACCAAAGCACAACACCCAACCGACCAAGCCACTGGCCAAAGACATGGCAGCAATCCCAGAAGAAAAAATAAAGAGAAAACAACAAAACCCAACCGGATCCCAACGATCCCAGAAACCAGACACTTAAAAAGCAACAAAAAACACACACCCATCCCCATTTTTTGTTTAAAGGAAAAAAAGAAAAACAAAAAACCGCGACGCTACACCAACACCCAGACGATGCGCTCCTCCGCGCACGGGGCCGCCGCGGCCCTTTCCACCTGCGGCGCCGCGCAGCCCTGGACCAGCAGCCTGGAACCCCATCCCGTCGGATTTCGCTTGTTTCTTTGGTATGTATGTCTTCCAGGGGAATGTGGACAGAAACCAATTCCTTCAGAAAAGCCCAGCTGGAAAAAAGGAAACTGATCTGCAAGAAATGCCATGAAGGAGCACCAGTGCTTTTAAAAGGCAGATGGTTGTTCCAGCAAAGGTTCGTTGCCCACCGCCCAGACAGTCCGGTGGGACCAGAAATTCAAAAGGTGTGTGCTCCATGTTATCTACACACATTGCTATAGTCCACCAACGTGAAGCAACGGATCTGTTTGTTTCTTGGTCTCGGTCAACCCAACTTGCCGAGTCATCTACTGCAGGGAGCAGGGGGCCAGATCTTGATTCCTTCACCCAACGTCAGTCCAGTTGCTTTCCCAATCTCAACGAAGAACTTCGCGCATGCAAACTGTGTGAGGCAGCAACCAATATGAGGGCCTGGCCAGATCTTCCGTGGAAGCGTCTGTTCTTGCGAATGGTTTTCCGTTTGTTTGGCATCCCGCAACATTGTCCTCCAAATTTAAGTTTCCCAAAGTGGGTCGCGGGCCAAGAGGTCCCTTCCGCAGACTTCATGTCTTTCATCGGTTGCTTCCGCAAACCTTTCAGGCTCCGCCTGTTTTACCACAAATTTGCCTCCGCGAGTATGGGCGAAGGAAGGACAGTCAGCAGATGTTGAAGGCAAGTCATGGTCTATCTGAGCGGCTGGGCTTCATTGGGCTACCGCGTGCGAAGAATCCGCGGCTTAGCGAACCTCTTGGCGCATGCTGGCAGCAGCTTTCTACTTCAGTCCGTTCCAAGTGCTTGCTGATGCGCACAAACTCGAGCTGCTTATATCAAGCTCCGCGAAAGAGATCCCTTCCTCGAAGCCTTCCGCATGCCTCCGCGCGTGAGGCGCGGCGCACATGTTCAAGATGTGTTTTATTCCTCTCCCTACTACTTTAACTTCCGGCCAAAAAACAACGCCGCTCATGTGAGCCGGTCTGTTTTGGGGAGTGGCTATCCACAGACACGCAAACACACAGACACACACACACAAACACAAACACAAACACAAACACAAACACAAACACAAACACAAACACAAACACAAACACAAACACACACACACAAACACAAACACAAACACAAACACACAAACACACAAACACACAAACACACAAACACACAAACACACAAACACACAAACACACAAACACACAAACACACAAACACACAAACACACAAACACACAAACACACACACACAGAGACACAGAGACACAGAGACACAGAGACACAGACACACAGACACACAGACACAAACACAGACACAGACAGAGACAGAGACAGAGACAGAGACAGAGACAGAGAAAGAGACAGAGACAGAGACAGAGACACAAACACCCACTGTCACATCAGCATGTGAATTGGAGTGAAGCCAAGACCCAGCAGGGGAACCCTTCAATGAGTAGGGTCCTCCGGATCTTCAGTGAACCAGTCCAGCCCAGCATGCTGAAATTTCACAACCCATCTCGAAGACCTGAAATGGCTCACGACAAACTACTCCCCAAACATCCCGGTGAGGGCCAAGACCTATAGGCCCCCACTCCACACCAAACCCTTCAATGCAACCACATAAGACTCCAACAATTCCCCACGGAACTGAAACCCATCCCCCACCAGCCCTCGCCTGCATTCAAAGGTCGGCGGAGCCAGCCCGCCGTCCTACGTGAAGCGGCAAGTGAGGTCCGACTGAGATTTGAGAATTGGAGACCATACCATGGTAGCTTTTGCAGCGGCGTATTCCCTCAGGCCGCGCATTCCCCGACACAAAACTTTCGCGAACAAACAACTAACTTTCGCGACCCCCTTCGCGGAACTTTCGCGGCGGTCAACGCTAAGACCAAAAGGTCTTCCACTTCATAGCTCAATACAAGGACCTTTCGGACGACTCTCATATAAATTTGGCACGTGCCATTCTCTCATCAGCAAAATGACTTAATTCCAAAGCTGGTTGAACTGCCAAAAAGGGGAAGTCTGGGATTCAGAATGGTTCATAGGTGTCAACGCGTTCAACGGGCTGCTCAATTTGAGCGTACTTCGTGCTGGGCCACCGGGCGTAGCACTCCAGGCTTTCGACGGAGGCTTCGTAGCCTTGGCTGAACTCTGAAGGGGAAGCCCAACAAATGGGTTCCCTATGGTTTTCCGCTGAATCCACTCCAAAATGGTACCCTCAGCCCTCAACGGTTGATGCTTGTTGGAAGGAAATGGCGGCTGCTGAATCGGAAAGTGGAAGCTCAACCCTCACTGACTATGGGCCTTTCATGTTGGGGTTTGGTGTATTTTGGCCAGCTCGTGACGGAGTACGTATGATTTCACATCCGTGAAAAGATTCAAGCATTCCCATGAGCAGAGCCCAACATTCCACGCGGTCCACTACGATTTTTCGGCTGGGCTTCCCTCCAATTGACTTCGGACGTGACAAGTCGCCAGCGGCGCAGAAAGCGGTGCACTTCTGGTTGTGCCAAATCTCGTCCTTGCCCTCCTTGCAAGCGCCTCCCAAGCGGAATTCACATGATTTGCAAAGCGGTCCCTTTGCGGGAGCGGAAGGCTCTCTCGAATCATCAAAAACGAAGCCTGATGAATGAATGTGCCGGATTTAACATGGCTTACAATTACAAGGCACAAACTGGTCTGAGCTTACACACGTGTCACAGCATCACAACGTGACGTCGCAGTTGACTGCAAGCTGAGTTCCCAAACCAGGATCCTGACAATCCCCAAGACATGCCCAAGCACCAGTGCTCAATGGCCAGCTCCTGGAGCACAAAAAGTATTTAGGGAAAGGGCGTGGTGGAATGACACACGCACAGCCAAAGAGCCCAACTTCAAGACCCTTTGAATACGTGTAAGGATGTAGGTTGACCCCTGGCCTCTTAAGCACCTCAGAAGGAACTTAAACCTTTTGGGGTTGCTTGCTTCCCTGTCAGCCAAGGTATCTGCATCCAACGCGCACTTCCAATTCAAATCACCGGCGGATAGACATGGCAAATGGACACCACTCAGCAGACAGTGTGGCTCGGGAAAAAACAGGCAGCTAGTTTGGTGTGCTTCAGTGTATTGTGCTTAGTTGCCCTCAGGGGTACTCCGCTTGCCATCAGTGTTGCGCGTCTGCGTGTGGTCTAAAAAAGGCTTTCAAAAAGAAAGCCGATGGCGCCAAACGGGTGTCAAATTTGGGGTCTGGACAAATTATCACATCCCCTTTTGCTTTCCTTTTGGGGCGAATGAACAGTAATTATGCCGCGTTTGGCTCCTGAATACCTACTAGGCCTCCATTTCGATCCCACCCCACTTGAGGTTCCTACAAAGGAAGCTGTCTTGAATAGGCTGTCTGGCAATGTTTCTTGGCTTCCCTTTGGGAAAGCGAGCTATTAGTTGCTACATGGTGCTACTCAGCACCCAAACGAGGTCAACTGCTAACGTCAATGTTTCTAAGCGTTTACTCCCCGATCCCCCGCCCCAAAACAAATTCTGGCCGAAAAGTCAGTCAACCTTGGAGTTTTGGCCACTTGTACAGCTGGCACCCGAGTCACCCCAATGTGGACTCAACCTCACAAGGCTGCAACGCCAGGCAAAGGACAGCAGAACAAAAACGCTGAGCTTGGATTGAGTTGAATCGTAGCCAACTACGAAATGAGGCAGGCCTAGCTTCTTGCAAAGAACTCTTTCACGGAGTGAGCACCCAGCTAAGCAACCGAGCCACCCGCCAAACGAGGTGATGCCTTAGGCCATCCCTGTAGAACAAATAATGGAATTTGACCTACCACTACTGCGGAATGGAGGAGGGGGCAGCAGGACCAAAAGCAGTTCCCTCTCAGCACTGCACCCAGCGTCCTGTGGGTCTTGCAAGGAGCCTTTTCCATCAAGCCCCAAGTTTTGAAAAAGGACATCTTGTGCCTACGACCTTGCCCACTGCTCCTGAAGCAAAACTTTATCTGGTGCTATACCCTCTGGCGAAGTTGTTTCTCTGAGAGTTGGAGTAATTTCGCTGCCCCTTGCAGAATAATATTTAAAACATATCCCGGGATCCCTCCGTGCCTGAGGGGTTGGTGAAGGGAATGTCCGCCAGGAAGCTCCCCGAGCAGGTCCGGCCACAGGTGAACCGATCCGGGCTCAGCTGTCCGTCGGAGCAGAACCTCGGGTCGGACCAAGGTCATACGGTAGGTGTGTACCTTCCTTGCAATAGATTGCTTCGTTTTGGTCGAGTTTAAACACTGCCCAAGTAAAGGTCTGGTAATTAGTTTGCAAATCCTATGCGTGCTCTCGCTCCCAAATCAATAATTCCAGAGACACACATTTTGCGGCTAGGGACATCTGAACATGCGCGGGGCCTCACAGTTATCTCAAAAGTTTGCGAACGAGGGAGGCATCCCTCAAGGCCGTGCCATTTCTACGCGGCTCGATCGGGTCATCGGTGGTGCGATTGCTGGTCTGGGCTGGTGTATCTGCACACAAGCACCTATCCTCCAAATTGAATAACATGCAAATCAACTTCTCAAAAATACCCACCAGATCACAAGTCGAAGCCCGCCTGAGCCAAGAAACTCATGCTTGTACCCTGAAGAACACGACAATGGAAGCGGTGTCCGGATGTCACACACTCGCCCACACACTCTTACATACAAACACAAACGCACAAACAAACACACACGCCCACCCACACACACACACGGACACACACACACACAGACACACACACAGACACACACAGACACACACAGACACACACACAGACACACACACAGACACACACAGACACACACACACACACACACACACACACACACACACACACACCCGCACGCCCGCCCGCCCGCCCGCCCGCCCGCCCGCCCGCCCGTCCGCCCACCCACCCACCCACCCACCCACCAACCCACACACACACACACACGCACGCCCACCCACACACACACACACACACACCCACGCACGCACGCACGCTCGCACGCACGCACGCACGCACGCACGCACGCACGCACGCACGCACGCACACCCGGCCAAGTGTGCTCACGCAAGCGTGCTCGCACGTACGCACTGCACTGCATGCACTGCACTGCACGCACGTACCCTTATGGCTATGGCATGATCTTCCGTTTGCCCACCAATGGAAACCATGGGAAACCATGGAACACCAAGGGAAAGCAAAGAAAACACGGAAAACCGTGGAAAACCAAGGGAAACCAAAGAGGAAACTGGGTAAAACCAAGCGAAACCAAGCAACACCATGCGACAAACCAAGCACCACCATGGGACACAATGCGAAACCATCAGAAACCAAGTAAAACCAACTAAGCAACAGAAACCCTGGGAAACCATGACAAGCCATGGGAAAGCAACACAAAAAACAAGAGAAATCCATGGGCAACGAATGGGAAACCTAATCTCTTCGGGTTGCAGGCTGGTGGGCGTTGGGCTGTACCCCCCGCGCGGGCACAAGCTCTGGCAGGCCTGCGAGCGCTTGTCGGTTCTGGGGAGGGCCTTGGAGGGTGAACAGGGCCTGAAAAGGGTTTTGGAGTGCTAAACCACATGGAGCAAACTACTGGCAATGATTTCGGCTATGAACAATCGTTTCCCATGCCTTTGAAAGAACTGTGGGTTCCTATGCTATGGTTTTCCATGATTTCTGGTGGGTAAATGTGTGTGTGAGTGTGTTTGTGGTGTACCCCTCTTCAGGTTGCTTTTATAGGGACACCAAGCAGAAAACAACCATCTTATAGGGTTCCTATGGGTTGCTTATACATATGTACATGCATATAATATGTATATATATATATTATATTGTCCCTTTAAAACATCAAGCCTACCAGGGGAAACTCATCTTTGGGCCAAACAAGGTCATGTGTCAAGCCACCCGAAATGGGTGGCTTATGGGGACCCCTCGGAATCCTCTACTGAATCAACTTGAAATAAGACATGGATCAAGAAAGGAGCCTTCGTGGCGAGGTCGCAACCCCAGCAGAGTCGCTAAAACTTGCCGCAGTTTCACTTCAGAAATAGCCGCATTTATCAAGACAGGGGCCCGTCCAGCCTGCAAATTCCCTCGAACCTTGAAAGGCCCCTAGTTTTCACATACAACGAAGATCTTGAGCCTGTCCTCAAGACGAATTAGCCTTGGATGTGTCATGTTCAACTGTGCCACTTTTGGATGACCTTCATGACACTCGCATTGATGGATCGCTGTGCTCCGCAACTTCCGTTTCTGGGTTTGTCCAAGCACCTTGGGCTGGCTTTGGGCATTGGCCAGTTGGCCAGTCTTCGCCTTTGGAAAGCGCAAGCACCTCGCTTTTCCTTGCAACGCCTCCCAGCACCTGAAACTTTCTTCTTCAAAGCGGTTGACTTAGTGTGGCAGGCGGTGCTGTCGATGTCGTCTTTGCGGACATCAGGCCACTAATATCCGATAAACTCCCCTGGACATCAACATGGAACCCAAAATGGGGCTCACCAAACGGAAATTCACCAAGCGAGGATTCCTCGAACGACGATGTCGTTGGGGGGTTCCATGAAAATATGTAAGAGTCCCCCCATGTCAATCTCAAGCGCGCATGTTGCATCAGCAAACGCGGGCTGTCTTCTCAGCACATCCAACATGTTCCTCGACGCTCAAAGGACCAAACTACTCTGAAGCCCAGACAGCATACAGCTAAACGACCCATCACGTAATTGTCGGGTCTATATTTTGACACTCATAATATCACAAACAACTGGAGAAAAAAACACACACGTGACTATCAGTTGAATATATCATTGCATGAACGCACACCTAGCTCTGCACGCATCATCATCTCGGTGCTAGGCTAACACAGAATCAGCCATGGAAGCATGTGTAAATGCATGTATCTATGTGCGTCATTATGTTCGTGTTAGTAAAACCATGCATTACTTAAATAATGTGTAAACCCGCAAATTCCTCTGTGCGTGTATGTAACAGCAAACAAATGGCAAGCACAAAACGCTGAACATACAAAACCAAAAAACACATATAATTACAAACAGACACACCCATAAACTAACAAACAAGCAAGCAAACACTCAACCAATCAACCGATCAATCAAACAAAGCAAAACTATACATGATTGAATGGGTAGACAAGTAAGCAAGCAAGCAAGCAAGCAAGCAAGCAAGCAAGCAAGCAAGCAAGCAAGCAAGCCAGCCAGCCAGCAATCAAGAACACGTACACACACAATACAAACAACAAAAAACAATGAAACACGCATGCAAACAAACAGACAAACACACAGACAGGCAGGCAGGCAGGCAGGCGGACAGACAGGCAATCAAACAAACAACCAATCAACAAACTCAATACGCGCACAAGCAAGCATGCAGGCAGGCAGACAGACAGACAAACAAGCAAGCAGACAAAAAGAGAAACAACCAGACGGATGGATGGACGGAAGGACGGACAGTCAAACAGACAAGAGAAAGGTAAAGGAAGGCAAGGAAGTAAACAGAAGCTAGCTTCAAGGTTAAAGGAAAGACGAAGGAAGCTGAAATATTCAAAATAAAGCCAAACAGAGGTGCAGTAACGCCCCTTGTCCCCCCCATGAGTCTATGCCATGACAACTACTTGCATTGCAATGTTCCTACACGTGCATCATATGCTTGCCGCAGTTTTGTATATGTTTATATAGATATATATATATATAAGTCTCTATACATATAATGCGGTACATTTGCTCATATATGTTCATGTCATATGTGGTTTGCCGCCTGCCTTTGAGGTTCCAGTGTTTTGCTGGGGTACCGTGCAAAGGTACATATCTTTTGTTTGGTGAGTCCCTCTTGTTTATGTGTTCTATGCAAGTTGCAAAGCAGACTGCAACCATGATATGCTCATTCAAACATATGCTTCATGATGACGTTGACCACGCCACATCTCATATGCCGTTCCGCCAAGAAACACGGGTAGCACTGGAACAGGGCCCATGCGTGAGAAAGGGAACAAATCCATGGGTGGCCCAACAGTTTGCGTGCATGTCCTGGGATCCTTTCAGAAAGTGAACAAGGGCAATATGCACACACAAAACCACAGGGAGATTGTGCAAACTGCAGATTCCGAAGGATTTTTCTAGGGGCGGTTGCCCTTTTAGTGGGAGATCAATTCAGTTTTGGGGTGAACAATATGTGACTCGTGTGGTTCTTCGGATTCATCCGAAGAAGACTGCGCTTTTGCCCAGCTGTGAAGCTCACTTCCTGAGTGAATTGGTGAAACAACTAAGCAGACTTGTTTACCCACATCATCTTCCCAAGACAAGTTGCAAGTCCTGCTGGACAAGTGAGGTTCACAATTGGACCCACTCTCATCACAAAACCTACTTTCGTCTTTTGGCCTTCACACTTGTTTTAAAAAAATGGGCAACCGAGTCTCAAAGGTTTAAAGGAACCAGCAAGGACCCCTCCTTCCCAGCCTGGCCATGCGCCACAGAGGCGCCTGAGGCGCAGAGCGCCCCGGGGGCCGACACGTGGCCCAGGCCCAGGAAGAAGGCGCTGCTCGGTGCAACGCAGTCCTCGAAGCGGAGGGAAATCATCAGAACCGACAAAGGACACCAAAGTCATATGGGTTTGGGTCAGAAGCCACCAGGGGACCGCAGGTTTTGGTCCTTGGTATAATCGTCATATGGCTGCGGGTCAAAACCATGTTGGGATCCCATTTTGGTTGGTAGGTGAATTCACCACCCATTTTAGAACCTATTTTAGTGGTTGGATTGGGATGTTCACTGGGGGTACGATTTGGATTTTGACCCATGGCCATATGGGTGTGGGGCAAAATTAAGGTATCAGGGGGACCGCGGGTTTTAGTCCTTGGTTCCATTTACCAGGGCTACATTTCAGGTACCTGTTGTTATATGTGTCAAAGGAGGCCCTCCAAGAGGAGCCACCCCACATGTGGCAATCATGTATAATAGACCCCAAGTTGAAGGGGCTCCTATGACACATGCATGGGCGGGTTGTTTTGACTTTTCTTTCGTGTCCCTTTGAAACCCTCGAAATGGTACGTCCAGTCTCTAAAAGGAGGCTAAAAGGGCCACAAAGGTTCCAAAGCGGGGGTCCTACTTCCTTTTGCTTCCCTTGGTCTCCCGTAGCCAAAAGACATGAAAACACAACCCATTCTGGGGATTCACCAAATAGAACGGGTCACGTTGGGAGAACGCATTTGGGTCAAAACATGGGTCGACGGTCCTGCGGACTAACTCGTTTCGGGAAAACTGTGAATTTATTCCTATGGGGTAACCGGGTATGCTGAGATAGGCGGTTAGAACAGTCCACGAATTCATCATCTAAAAATGACACGGAACTTCAGCAAGGGAACCTGTATCGGTGAGGCTTCACAATTCAATTTCGCTATCTTCCCCTGACCCAAATGAAACCACTCGAGATTCTGTCCTCATTGCTAATTGAATCATAGTTCACAAGCCTCAATAGGAACCCTAAGGGAGCTTCATCATAGACCAACTCAATGTACCCCAGTTGAGCTCGCCTTCAGTGCAAAAAATGGTCCAAGGTGATGCCGACGTGTCCCCACAAAATGCGGCAAGGTAATGGTTGAAATTGCCTGGAAACGTAGGGCCATCCTGCATACGCAGTGGGAACGCAACCAACAAGCCTGCATGACTGGAAGAAACCATAATTTGCCAACTGAACATGAGGAATCCCCATGAGATCGCAAGCCCATTGCCATGATTTGCTCGATCACTCCCTCAGACCTCTGGATTTCTGAAAAAGGTGGTATTTGACTTTTGAAGGCCACTCCAAACAAAGGGCACTGAAGGTGTGCCTGGGGTCCTGCCTGTGCCACCTGGAGACACTGGAAGGAAGGAAGGCTGCCCCTGGCACGAACCGAGGAGAAGCGAGATCTTTGTCAACCAGATGTTACGCCCATAGAATACGTGAGCTCATGGGACTCAACTTGTGAGTTTCAGTGTCAGCCAAAACATGCGAACTGGCATGTTCGTCCAAAGCTTCCGCAAAACGGCCAATTCTCAATGTTGCTGCAAGGTGCACAACTATAGTTTCAAGGCAATCTCCAATCAATCAAAGGTACGCAACAAAACCCTCAAAAGAAGTTTAGAAGGGACCATGGGCGCGGACCGCACGCTTTTCGTGACATTCGTTTGTGGCAGCAGCCCGTTTGCAAGGTGCAGATTGGCAGCGGCACTTTGGTAACAAGTACATATTTCGCAGGCGCACCACTTTTTCGAAAGGTGCCACAGTTTTTCGGGACAGCCCAAGCACTTTCAGAAGGCCAGGTGCAAATTGCGTGGCATGAGAAGCATTTTCGCAAGGTCAGGTACAGATCTCGAGTAGGAAGGTGGTACGCATCCCCAATTTCCAGAACGTGACTGTGTTATTTCCACCGCTTGCCCGAATGCGCACACGCTCTGCTGGTACATAAAGTCCAATGGGATGCTCCCTGATAGCTATCATCATGTCGCTTGCGGGCTTCTAGCCAACTCGATATGACAAGTTTGAAGCACTCAAAATATGTTTGGCCATGGGTCAAAATCCAAATCGTACCCCCAGTGAACATCCCAATCCAACCACTAAAATAGGTTCTAAAGGGGGTGGTGAATTCACCTACCAAAATGGTATCATTGGTTTTGACAACAGCCATTTCCCTCGAACAATCCCCAACGAAAACATGTACAGATTACTTGCGAGGGGCAAAGCCGGGAGCCTCTGTCGTTGTGCTGGCCCTCAGGCTTCGGACTGTCACATCTGTCACCTCTGTTCGGATGTCAGTTAAAATCCAACCCCAAACCTGTCGATGCTGCACATCGAAAATCCTCGATCAGGACTGTGCTATGTCAGAGGCTACATCAGCTTTCGGAGGAGCAGTGAAACGCCTGCTTGTTGTGGCAACTGCAAACTGCTTAGGCTTCGCACAATGCCAATTTGTGAAACTCCTCCACATAGATTACCGCTTCTGGCAGCATCCCATTCCCTTAGAACATTCACAATACCTTTGCGACTCAGCAGGAGGTGTGAGCAATGGGGTAAATAACAGGCTCCTCTATTTATTCTATACGTATTCTAAACAATCATGAACTCCGTTGAGCCACCCAAAGACCATTTAGGCAGTCAAAATTCGGGTCCTTTGTTGGTATCCCCTTAAGGCAACGCAAGACGGCGGGTTCCAAATGGGGCCATTTGGACACTCGAAACTATGCGCCTGTCGCACTGTGCAGAGCTTGGCTCAGCGCGAAAACCTAAGCTGTCGCGGAGCTGATTCGTCAACATGGGGGGGAACCTAAAAAGGGTGGTTTTCCCTTCATGTCCATTGAAAGGTCAAAAGGGTACTCTCAAAACAAGCACAGACACAAACACACACACACACACACAAACAAAAAAAGGCAAACAAACAAACAAACAAACAAACAAACACACAAACGCACAAGCACACTAGCACACAAGCACACAAGCACACAAACACGCACTGTTGTGGTTGTACATACATCATGTTCATTTCCCACCAATGGAAATCATGGGAAACGTTTTGAAAGCGGGCTTCCGATCCTCCTAAATGGATGTGCACCCTCCTCTCTGTACATCAACTAGATCTCTGTATCTCCGTAGATCACTGCGAGAGGACCTGCAGTTTTCACCAAGATCTCGGCGCACGCCTGCAAGTTCTCCTTGGGACTTTGACTTGTCACTTGATTTGGGTTACAAAAGACATGCCGGCTCTTCGCGGACCTCGATATCATTTTGGGTCGCCTTACTAGGCATAACTCGGGCCGTCGAACTTGTGCTCATGTTTCCGTGGGACTCCAAGACCAAACGCTCGCACCATGGGTGCAGTTCTGACAAAGTCAGGGCGTGCAAGTTGCGGTTTGGTCCAGCGAACGTGAGGCTCCGCAGGCTGTCTGGCAAGTGTACTTGGCAAACTTCATGTTTATATATATATAATGTTAAACGTTTGGACCTCAAACAGAAACAAGTGCCAAGAAACATTACACTAGAATCAGCTGGACATGACGGCTTCCGCCTTTGGGGACCTTGAGCCAACAAAAACAGCACAAGCATGCCAAAGAGCAAACAACCCGCCAAGAACAGGGAGGTGAATCAAATGCAGGAATTCAAATGTCAAAAGGTTGGGTTTAATTTTGGGCACATGTTCAAAGAGAACCACCTTGAAACCACCAAACAACAACCATAAAACCACCATAAAACCATAAACCAACCACAAAACCTCCATAAAACCACCGTGAAACCACCATGAAATACAATGAAATCAGTCAGGGGGTGACCCTTGGCTCTCGGCTTTGGCTTCGGCCCAGACGCCAAAGATGCAGCGGAAGGTGCAGGTCTGCCCGTGCGGGATTTCCAGGCCTTCCGCGCAGGGCCTGGCTTGGCTGGGCATGCTAGGGGCTAAGCAGATCGAGGCAGAATCAAAATGGGTATTCAAATTGTCTATACACCCGAAGCCAAGTAAAGAAATCCAAGGGCGGAAATCCGCACCTATTCGTGGTTGGGGCGTTTCTGTACGGGAGCCCAAACAAAAGAAGTCCTTTTGGGAATTATTCTCCTGTTGGCTTACCAGGGCCACCCCCCCCCCCCGGAAATGGTGTTTGTAGACATGCGTAGACTCTACACCATGGTGTTTGTGTGGGCAATATGGTCGGATCAATATAGTATTGGCACAGTGTGGTTAAAACGCGGTTGTTTGAAACCTGTTTCGTTTCCCTTATACCCCAGTCCTGGAGGAAATCAGTCAATCAAAGTGATGTTTGGTCGTTGGCTCCCTAGAGGATTCCTCTTTCTTCCTCTTGGTGTCCTGTTGGCTTCCAGTTTGCTTCCCAATTTTCTGCTCAGAAAAGAAACCCGGCATGCTTTGGTGCTCCAAGCATTTCCCGGACAAATCCCCCCTCCGCCGCACTCTCTTGCCAGCGAGGCGCGGGGAGGCGGCCTTGGGCACTGTGGAGGGCACACACGGCGCCGCGCACTCGAAGCTCGGCGTCAGCACCCCCGCCTGACGCCGCTCGGTTGTGGGCTGGTTTTGCCAAGGGAAGGTCAGAGAACCTTCCGGCAAGCGATGAAATTGTAACAAAGAAGACACTTGAAGATTGGACATGGAAGAGGGCTGCTTACTTGTGGCGTCTAAAACCTACTGCTATGGGGTGATGTCGGGCCCCCAAAATGGGATCTGCTTTCTTGTGGTTTGTCGGATATATATTTTCCACATGGACTTCAGCTTGGGATATGCAGCCACTTGAATAAAATAGCCACTTTGTAAAGGGTGCTCCCTTTGTCTCCCAGAAGCCCGTTTGTCGGGGCAATCTTTTGGCTTCCCTACCATCAACCCAACAAACAAACCCGCGAAATCTGGGCTCAGTGGGGGGTCTATAGGCATGGGATGGATCCCCTTTCCCGTGAGAGGTAGCCTTTGACAGAATCCTCCCTGGATGAGGTCACAAACTCCCTTTGCGAGGTCGCCATAATTTGCTCAGACCCTTTCTTGCATACAATATCTGCAGCCTGATGAAGTAGTCCCCGCTCACGTTTACCTTCTTTCATTTCGAACAAACCGGGTGGCTTATTTACCTAGGAGTCCTCTTGGACAAAGAGATAAAATCCACTGGTTTTAATCAGAGCCAAACAAACATTTCAGAACATCTCTCAACCAACGCGCCTAAGTTTGCCAGACCCTTGGCCCTGAAAGCACGAAGCACCCCCTCGGCCGTGGATCCCTGCCGCTCCAATGGTAACCCATGGTACGTAACCAAACTGGGTTGCCCGAAGAACCTAGAAATACAAGGTCAACTTTTGGAACCTTGACACATTAACCAAGGGAAACCAACAGGTTAGGTGGGCTGTGGGCAAGTGAGCAAAAAGGAACCTGGTGAATTGAGGTTGAGTTCCAAGCAGCCCAAAAGGAGCGCTTCTTGTTGGGCTTTGCCATAAAGACGTGCGGTTCCCAGTTTAGGATTTGGACTCCCAAAATTGCTGCGGTCTTCCGTTGGGGTGTCCTTTACCGTAAACAAAAGGGGAACCCGACCAACTCCAAACGCGGGCGGAAACGAAACGCGAAGATAGGAGAGAGGATAGAATAAGGGCACCCTTTGTTCTGTAGTCTATTTTAGTAGGGGGACCCTCCCCCAACAAAGAAACGGTAAAAGGGCACCTAGCTGGGGGACCTAGAAACCCATCGCGCCTCGCACTTCAGCTCTGGCACCGTGGGGGTGCCCAAGGAGCACCGGGCAGTGCAGAAGCCCCCGTCCACCAGCACCGCACCTTCGCATGGAGTGGATGGAATCCTTGGGAGGGACTAGGAGTGGGAAAAAAAGGAGGATCTGCGGCCGCTAACCATGCGGATGGGATGGGACAGCCTGCTGGTGCTTCTCCGGGGACGGAGCGCGGCAGTTCCTATGCCCGGAAATATCAACACGGAAGATATCACTTGGAGCGCCAAGGGAGACCCGCTTTTCGTCAGAAGAACGGCGACAAAGAAAGTCAACATGAGACAACACGCCCAGCATGTCGGGTGGCATTCATGTCATTCACAGAATTACATACGCGGCATATCCCCACCAAATGATCTGCTGAACATTGGTCGATCCACCAATCTGGCAAGTAAGCTGACTAGCCCAAAGTACAGCTTAAGAAACCATTCAGCTGCTCAATGAGCATCATGCCGCAGAATAAGGCCCTGCTTGATGTTTCGCTGGTAATTAGTAGGTTCCTATGTCTGGCAATGCAGGATTATTGCCTTGAAACGCAGCCACCCCACACACAAATGCAAATGAGGTTGCCATTGACCCCGTTTTCAAGCATGCACGGAGCCGCATCTTTCCGGGGTTTGCTGCTGGCGGGATCAGATTTGACACATGATGCTAGGTTGCGCTTGATTTCCTCAATGTTGCAAGTGAACCAAGCACGTCAAACCCTAAAACCCACGGTAAAGCATGGCAAAAAAAACCGGCTTCCACTTGTTCCCGTACAGGCAATATTTAGGCGATCCGTTGTATCGCTCGTGAGAACGTGCTCAGACGTTGCGGCTCGGAGCTGCCGCAGAGGCTTACCACAAAAAAAAAAAAAAAAAACAACGGGGGTTCAGACCACTTCGCAACAGAGGCACGGGATGTTGCTTGGGGTCCAAGAGTTCTGGATCAAGGCTCGTTTTCAGTTGAGCAGTGGTCAGGTGTTCAGCGTTTATGGTTTGGGTTTGTTTACTTCTGCTTTAGATTAGTCAACGCGAAGGTTTTAGGGTTGTTTAGGGCTTTCCAGGTAGGGTTGCCCGTGGGACAAAGTTCGAGACTTCTTCGGCCTTTGGTCCGAGCTTGTGCTACCATCTGGATACGTGTTGTCTGCGGGCAAATGAGCCTTGGCTGTCACGGCTTCCTTTTGTTTGTCAAGCCCCCCCCCCCCCCCCAATTTGGCCTTTCCCAGCTCTAGGGCGTGTGTCAAAATAGGGGGATCTAGACAAGTGTTTGTGTTTCCCTTTGAACCAAAGTACAGCAAAATAACAATTTGGCCCTGCTTTGTGTTGCTTATTTTTTGCTGCGGGGGGCTTGACAAACATAAGACTCTGCTGGTACGCAATACAAAACGAAGCAGCTGTGCGATACAACACAGCCTCTGCAATCTCAAGGCGCCGGCATGCTTGTCTTGCATGGGCATTCGTGAACAACATGTTGAACAATACATAGGCAACATGCGCTAGAATCAAGAAATAACAACAATGACATCTTCATTCAGTTAGTGCACTCTGCAAGTTGTTCATTCGACATTGTTCCCAGTAAGAGACATCCGAGAAGTGATGGATCAAGCACAAGCCGTTGACAGCGGGTGCCCAATACAAGGCCAGCTGCAGGCATTGTGAACCCACATGAACCAGCTGAGTCTGTGCCAGGCATCTTCATGATGCGGTGCTGTAGTTATACTCGCCATGGTCAACACTTCTTTTGTTCGTCAGAATCATGGTCGCCGTGTTCGAAGTCTTGACATTGGTGGTCGAACATCCCTGTTAAAGGGTTCAACCCCAAGTACCAGGGTCTTGTGACCATGGCACACATGTTTACCCTGGATGAAGACCTGATCAACAAAATGACATCTTAGCATGCCTTGCCTGCGAGCCTTGCAGTTGCACAGGACCCCAGAGGTCACAAGCCAAGCTGGTGACCTTCTTTGAATCCGATGTCCCTTGAAAGCAAGATGGAGCCCAGTCTGGTAGGACAGCAATCATGACCTCCAAAAAATGCAATCATGACCTTTGCAACATCGTAGGACAGCCCAGTATCGTGACAACCTCACCCCTTTTTGGCACGCAGGCGAAGCCTTCTGCGCAAGAGGGGCTGGCCGCGAAAGCAACGGTCGGCGCTGTGCATGACACTCCTGTCCAGGTAAATGGAATGATGCCGGTGCGAACCCCACACAATCTATGTGGGTACTATATATATATATATATATATATGTACACAGACCAACATTAGACCCATTTCGAAGGCAACAGTTGGTAAATACGCATACATGGAGTGGCCGGAGTTGGGTCTTATATAGGAAGAGTCCTCTTGGAAAAAGCTGGTGGTAAATGATTAGAACTAACCGAAACCAGTGCCGCCCATCAAGGTGATCGTTCAACCAAACTGATCGAAGAGTACTTCTACGTATAGTGCCTCTGGTGGCACATGACCTGGTTGATTTACGCCTTTGTTTGCTTATGATCTCTGCAACCCTGCCAAACCAAAGGCCTCAGTCCCAGGTAGAGCCTTGCCAAAAAGCAAGTAAGTGTTGCATACATGGTCAAAGTTTGACATGTTGATCCCAACTTTCACAATCAGTGGCCTTTTCTTCTCCGAACATTTGGATATGTCTCACTCCGAGTGGTTGGTTTCAGGTTGATTCGCTTTACAGACCTTGCTCAAATAGTGCCTATCTGTGCCACACAGCTATGTTGCCAAATGCCACAGGCATCGCTCGAATCCCGAAGCTAGCCAGCTCACTGCTCAAAGCAACCCATGTAGCACCAAGAACCATGGCTTCCTCTCTGAAGTGCATAAGCAACTTTGGATTCTGGCCCTGATTCTGTCGCCAGTCTCAAAGTCCCACACCCAGGATCAAGGGCCTGTCAGACAAAAAACCACCCAGTCATCTAGTGCCCAGTTTCAGGTCTAGGAAGCGGAAAAACACATGAGAAGCAAAAAAGGCATAACATACTGGAAAAATGCAGGTCAAACCCACCAAACCAGGGTGCCATACCATATATATATATATACACATCTGTTTATTATTGCAGGTTGAGCCATTGTTTATTGGATAAGCAGCTCCGGATCCAAAGGCCTCTAATTCTGGTTCAACCCGCCATATGCCCGACGCGGGCATAATCAATTGTCCAACTCGCAATATGAGCATGTGTATGATATCGTACACGCAGGAAACTACAAGTCCCAGATAGTCCCAGTCAACCAAGCGCGGTCTTGCGGCGTGTTGATCCTCTACACATTGATTTGATGCCCCGGGCCCGTTCCCAAAGCCCCGCGAGGCTTTTCCGCGCCGCCGCCGAACACGCGAAACTTCGAATGGGGCGCCTTGCATGCTGCAGATGTAGCTGGGGGGCGTCAGTACCCCTGCAGAGCAGGCAAGATAAGGGACCTGAGTGCGACGATCGGCCAGAAACGTTGTCACCGGTTGACCCTTTTGAGAGTTGGGCGAATGACGATTCTCTTGAAAGGGTAAACGTGCTCTGGAGGCGGTGTTTTTCGAGGTACAAGATAACAACCATTTGGCGGGGTCCCCAATTTTGAGAGCCACCTTATGGCTCGAGCGCTTACAAGCCAAAGGTGTATCATAGAGGGTGTCTCCGAACATGTCACCTGCCATCACATGGCCCAACAGTGAGCCCCTTTTGGATACCCTGCTCAACCAGAGATGTTTAGTATGTTGACTACACTTTGCGTCCGTGTAAGCTTCCTTCTGGATGTGGTAGACAGGTCAGCTATCATTGGATGGCGTCCTCAGCCGCTCTTACTGTAATGGTCTCCCGATACGGCTTTGGCTTGGGGCCCAGGCGAACCAAAAGTAACAATACCCCTCTGAGTTTGTGGTTTCATCCTTGTATGGAGGAATGAACCCACTTCCTGAATGGGTTGACCAAACAAAAGCAGACAAAGACAAGGGCTATAAACTGGAGGAAGTGAACGTCCTGTGTGAAAGGGGCTCTTACAGTTTTGGAAGGCATTGTCTGCTCCGAACATGTGGTCTGGCACCAGGAATTGGTGTTCGTGGGAAGGCAAGTGGAGCCGCTTTGAGGATTCGAGTCAGTTAACTGATCCCCGTGAATGGTTCTGGGCCCGGAAGATTTGGAGATACAGGTGTCCTGAAATGATATATATATATATATACACATAGAGACCTTTCACATGTTGTGTGAAAACGGAAAGCAGGACGAAAGCACCGATTATTTTTGTTGGCAGGGGGATTGTTTTCTTGAACACATCAATAAATGAATGGTTTGATTGAACTCCTTCCAACCATGGAAGTGGACAGGGCACTCGAAGATGGTAGTCTTTTACACCCGGAATGGTATGTGTCTAAAATCCGGGCGAGAGGCGGATGGGGCATAGCCCGGCAAGCAGTTTGGCAGGCAGAGCTTGCCATGGGGCACCATCCAGCCACCTTCACAGGGTCCTTTCCCCGTTTTCTTTGGGATCAGTTTGGCATACCTCCCTGAAAGCCACACTTTAGGGGAGGACGTACATGTCTTTGCAATAACAAAGCTATACATAGTCTAAAACAAAACATATTGGTACACCATTAACAACAAACAAACAACTGCAATCACGCAAAACACAAACTACATCAACATCGAGAACTGAAGCATGGCCGCACAACTGAAAACTGAGACGACCCCAGCAATCCAGTTGCATTGCGAGCAAAATAACATTTGATTTATCAAGTAAGATCGCCGGATGTTTCCATAATCTCAAAGGGCAAACACCTCGATGAGCTGCTCGCGAGCAATTTTGGCTGACCCAAGAGTGCAGTGCACAGTAATTTGTGCCAACTTCGTATTCATCCGAGGACCCTATTATTAAGAGGCATCCTGCAAAAAATGAAACAGATTCCTGATATGTACGAACCTCCAGACTACTCCGAAGTTAAATTTAAGGCAAACATTGAACCCTCTGCCCCTTCAACTAAGCCAGTCTTGACGCCCGTGATCAGAACCAAGCCGTGCTGTCAACCAATACGAATGCACCGTAGCTTCGGCAAGGTGGAGATGCAAAGCTAATGTTTTGTCCTCCTTCTGCTGTCATGCTTATCCTTGTCAGACCAGGTCACAGTGAAGCACAACATGTGAGTCCTGCTTGACTCAGAACACCATTGAAACAACAACAAGCAAACAAACCAAAAACAGAAACACACAACAAACGAACGAACGAACGAACGAACAAACAAACAGCAAAAAAATAACCAAACCAACCAAACCAAACCAGACCAAACAAAACCAAACCCACAAACACGCAAGGTTTGGTGCGCC